TAATAATAATAATAATAATAATAATAATACTTATGTTAATGATTTTCGATTAACCATGTATGGGACGTCTTTGGGATTAACTATAAACATTCCTTCGGCATAAGGGCTTTGTGATTTAGTTTTAACCAGATGATATCCTTTGTATTTTCTATCAACTTTGTCGCCAGCTAAAACGGCTGGATATCTTGGCGGGCATAAACCCAATAAATATTGCAAAAAGCCAGAACAGGGCCATCCCCAAAAACCTATTTCGGAATTAATAGATTCGGCGAAATATTCGGCGGATCGATGATGATTACATCCAAATGGATTTTTATTTTCCCAACATCCTGGTTGATTAATACCACCATTCATATAAAAATCTATATGACCGCTTGGTTCGAGTTTTCCTTGTATAAAGGCGTTGGTATGATAAACGTCAACGAAATTGGCATCGTCAGAATCGAGCTTTTCGTCATTATCAACAGCAACGAATAATGGCATGGCCGGATCTAATCCAGTTATTCTCTCCAATTTATACGGTTTAAGATAATTAGCGGAAAATGCCGGCACGTGTGCTCCCAAACTGAATCCAATGACATGTAGATCCTTAGCACCGTGAAATTCAAGTCTCCTTATCAATTGTGCTAAACACTGACCGACATGAGGTACGTTGTAAACGGCAATTGGATAACAGGGTCCAACGGCTAATCTATGCCAATCAATTGCGATCAAATTATATTCTCCATTCTTGAGATATTCATCCTTGACTTCAACCAGACTGCTCATTAGCATATCGGAATTGTAACCATGAACTATTATCTTCGTTGGATTAGACGAATTGAAATTGGTTACGTCAAGATTAGAATCCGTATCTGTGACAATTATTCTCTGTCCCTTAAATGGATTATCACGAGTATATAAAAAAAATGTTACCTCCTCGTCGGGACAAGTTTGATTGGTATTAACCAAACACGGACCAATAAAATAATCCTTGCTAATGTCATTGTCAACGTTGCCAATCACGATATTATTAACCTCAATAGCTCCGATCGTTGGATACTTTAAGACAACGAATAAGAGGAAACTGGCGAGCATTAACTCGCTAAGATTAAATCTAGTATTCTCTTGTGACATCTTCGACGATCTCATTGGCCTTCGTAGTCCTTTCATCAGATTGGAGAAGAAGACTCCGGTGTATCCACCTCTGTAAATGGTCCTACTCCTTCTCCTCCTTCTTCTCCTCCTCCTCCTACTCCTCCTACTCCTACTCCTTCTCCTCTTCGGTTCGTCTCTCTTATTCTCCTTCACTAGGACGTCGTCGTTCAAGCTTCGCGACGAAACTGTCCGCTGCGAAACGTGCTGCTCGTTGCCGAGGGAAACCTCACGATGGATAAGCACGTATCGAGCGCACCTCCACGAGCTTCGAATCCCTAAAGAGAGGTACACAACGATACCGAGACATCTGCGACTTTGTTAAAGGACGGCGGTCGAACCGATGAGCACACTAACACATACACACATATGTATATATGTGTGTATGTATATATGTGTGTGTGTGTGTGTGTGTTTTGTATGTATGTGCGCATATATGTATGTGTATGTATATATTCCAATATATATAGCATATAAATAAATATGTGCGCGTATCTATAAGGTGACTCAATTATTATTTACCAATAAGAAAATTATTATTTTGTGATTATTAATAAATAATTTATCTGATATAATATAATATATATTATTTATTTAAAAGTGATATATAATGTAGAGAAAGAAAGAGAGAGAGAGAGAGAGAGAGAGAGAGAGAGAGAAACGATAATAGATTGTAATGTCAATAATGTCGGTAAAAAAATTAATAATTCGTTCAACGTTATTATCGAATAATATCATTATCTAATCTATTTTTTTTTTTTTTTGATACATAAGATAAGAATCTCATCGTATAATCTTTCAACTATGTATAACTACTGAAGTATAATAATATTTTATTTCACTTGGCAAATGATTATTGATTCACCCTATATATATATATATATCACAACTTTTATATACTCCTTGATACACCTAACACATGAAAGTGAAATATGTATTATTTGATGTATGTATATGCCTCTAAATAAATACTTAGTATAGTATAGTTCGATAAAGTACACGTGATATCCGCATCACGTTATTTTATGGAAGTTGATAATGATTATGACCGTGACACGATAAACATCAATTATTTTCAAAAATCTTGTTTTATAAGGATGACGAAGCATTACATGATGTTTAATGTATATATATATATATATATATATATATATATATATATATATATATATATATATATACGAAATATTTGATAATTAAAATGATGAATGAAAAATGATGGAGGAAAAAAAGAATAAAGGAGAAAGAAAGAAAAAGAAGAAGAAGAAGAAGAAAGAAAGAAAGAAGAAAAAAGATAATAAACAAATAGTATTAACTATTTGCTTTGGGAGTGAATTCTCGTTACGTTTAACGATTCGTTTCATTTTCTCGTTCTCTTTGCCATTGAAATTGCCGTGGTTACGAAATCGTTGGTTGGAAATGGTAATGAGATGCATTTGAAAGAGTGTTTGTGGTTAGAAAGAGAGTTGAGCTAGAGAGTAGCCAATTAGAAGTCGATGCTTTTGATTTACACTGCGGACAAGACAATCTCGTTCGCGTGACTGACTTCACTAACATCGAAGCTTGCTTTGAATAAATGCGATAACAATTTCCTTTTCTATATGTTTTCTAAGTGTTACACGTTTATGGCTATTATTAATGGAAAAAAAAAGAAAAGAAAAAGCAAAAAAAAAAAGAGAAAAACTGTTCCATCGATAAGAAATTAATTTGTTTATTAACAATTTTTTAATTTACTTAATCATATAGATCGATCGCAATCTGAATCTTTGTATGTTTGACAAAATAAGATTAATTTAGTTAATCGAAAGAATTAGTTTCTAATAAATTGTTTATAAAAAATTGTTAATTAATTATTATTTAACAATATCGCTAAAAGAATAAAAGAATATTCTATCCTTTAAAATAATATTCTATAAGATTTTTAATACGAAAAATATTCTCATATAAATGAAAGATGTGACTATCGACAATACAAAGAAAGAATCGTTTCTTTGATTAAAAAAAAAAAAAAAAAAAAAAAACAGAAGAAATTTGTTTATTGAAAATTTGATTTATTTACGTAATTTTATAAATTAAACGCAATCTGAATCTTTCGTATTTCATTTTTGATCAAATAAGATGAATTTTAGTTCGTAAGAATTTGTTCATGACAAATTGTTTATAACAAATTCTTAATTAATTATTAACAATAGATTGAAAAAATAGATAAAATTCTGACCTTTAAAATGGTATTTTAATCGAGTCTCTACGATTTTTAGTTTCGGAGATATTTACGTTGACACACTGACCTATATAATTTCATTCAAATTAATTAGCTGACACACTGACCTATATAAATTCCAAGAATTTACGCATCTCAGCTGACCGAATTACTACTACTATACTATTACTACGAACAGTTGTAGCGTACGAATAATGAATGAGAATCTTTCAAATGCAATATCTCCGGAACGGAAAGTCGTAGAGACTTGATTCAAAAACCATTTTAAAGTATAATTTATTCTTTATTTATATAAATATTGCAACGATATCGTTAAAATAAAATTAATTTTTGTTAATTAATTTTTACAATCGAATTTTTTCATTTTTATTTATTTATTTTCTTTTTCGTAATAAAACTGTAATTATGATGAGATCGTACAAAGTTTCATTACAATTATTTAAATTTTATTTTGTTTATTTAAAATAAAAAATAAACGAACTTTTAATAATTGCCAATACACTAAATCTGAATGATTTTCTTTCGCAATAAGCATATAAGTCTGATAAATTTCTAACAAGTTAAATATAGAAAAGTAAATCTTTGCTAAGTCTTGTATAAATCGTATTACATTAACGTAATCCTGATTAACATGAAAGCTTATTATCAAACAATTATCGAATACCTAATCGTCTATAATAGATTACGATGATGACGATCCTAATTAAGAACGATTATAATCAATTCTTCTATTCGACAAATTTATAAGGAAAAAAAAAAAACGTTCATTATACCAAAATTCAAAAATAAAAATACTTGAATAAAATATCTAACAAGATGATTAATAATAACAATAACAATAAATACATACGATGAAAGCACCAATCAAAATCGAAAGCATTTATTCCACGATTCGAGAATTATCTTAAATTAATTAAATTCTTCTAATTTATAAAAGAGTTAGAAAAATTCGTCATTGAAGAAAGAAAAAGAAAATAAAAAAAAGTAAAGAAAAGAAAACGAGAAAAAATTAATTATAAAATTTAACATACAAAACGAAGCGATTCGAAGGATACGAATGACAAGTAATAATTATTCTTCTATTTGTTTCGGAAGTAAAAACTCGTGAAAGTGGACGTCAAATTGCTAAGAAGAGAGAGAGAGAGAGAGAGAGAGAAAGAGAGAAACGTGCCGACTGTTCGGTGAAACTAGTTTGCGTTCTCATCGAGAAGGACAATGGCTCTGAACTTTCGCGGTAGTACGTTCGGTGAATCTCGATTAGTTTTAAAAACACTTTTACATTCAAACAAACGTCCTAATTACGTTCACTTCGAAGTAATTATCGCTATGAGAAAGTCAAACGACCTACATTATCGCATTGCAAATACATTTTCATTTCGACTCTCATTCTTGATTTTCTATCGAGAAAACGAAATAAATTACTCTCTCTCTCTCTTTCTCCTTCACTCTCTGATTACTTTTCTTTTTTTTCTTATCTCTTTTTTTTTTTTGGCCTTAAATTCCAAGTTCTTATTAACAATAATTATAATCTCAATATATTTCTACGATTGGCCAAACATTACTTTTCATTCAATCCTTTACGTTCCACAAAATAGCAACAACGACATTGATTAACAAAGTCGTTTGTTTTTAATCATGCTAATATAAAAAAGAAAAAAAAATTGTATAATTATTAGACAATATTTGAAGAAATTTCGCATCTTATAAATTTCTTATGTAGTACGTGCGTAGACGTGTAAAAAATTAATAAAAATAAAATGATTAATTTTTTGAAAAAGTTTCTATTCTTTTTTATCTTTTTTTCTTCCTTTTAAAAATCGATTATATACTATTGGCACTAAACGACAAATAAGTCGAGAAGAAAAAAAAACGAGAAAAAAAGAGAAAAAAAAAAGAAAAAAAGAAAAAAGAAGAAAAAAGAGAGATATAGAAAAGAAAAAAAAAAATGAAAGGAAAGGAGAGAGAAAATGTTATACGAAATATAAAGCATTAAAATCTCTCTCTCTCTCTCTCTCTCTCTCTCTCTCTCTCTCTCTCTCTCGTACAAATAATATCTCGTTCGCAAAAGAAAAGTCAAATTCGAAGTTGGCTAATTATACCGTGCGACACAACGAATTACATAATATAATTGCATTGTCCGAACGGAAGGCATCGATGCGAGCGAGCGAACGAGCGTGCGAGCGTTTCCGCATGCGGAATTATTTCGATATATATATATATATATATATATATATATATATATATATATATACACGCGCAAATTGACAATTATATCTACCTGTATATAGCTTTGGTGATACCGACTGGAATCGGTTGGATTAAATGAAAGAGATTTTTAGATTCATATCCATCCACGACGGATTTATCTAAAAAAAAATTAAATTATTATAGGAAAAGAGAAAAAGAAAAGGAATCAAAAAAGAGGATCAAAAAGAAATAAGAGAAAGAGAGGGAGAGTGTGTGAGAGAGAGTGAGAGTGAGAGTGAGAGAGAGAGAGAGAGAAAGAGAGAGAGAATGAACATAGTGAGCGAGTGAAACAAAAAGATAGAAAATAAACATGGAAATAACAATTTGTTTCCTGCGAGGAAACATGAGAGAATTCGTAGCTCTCGTTCGAGAGCTCGATCGATTTCGAAAAGACAAGAGGATATAGAGAAAGAGAAGGTGAGATAGCGAATGGGGTTGAAAGGTAGAAGGGAGACGACGAAAGAGAAAGACGCACGACGTGACCGAAGCAAGCCGCTTCGAATGCCGAAGGGAACGTTTCGTGTAGATTAAAAGACAGCGCCCTCCGGCCTTAATTTCCGTCCTACGAATAATTCAAGCATTCTCTGTTTCTCTCTCTCTCTCTCTCTCTCTCTCTCTTCCTCTCTGATTCTCTTACTCTGTCTTTCTTATTCGTTCTCTCTCTCTCTCTCTCTCTCGCTCTCTCTGTCTCTCTCTATCTGTTTTTAACGAAGAAGGGTCTACGATTTCATAGGTTCGAGGACCCTTTTCTAAAGTTTACACTCGTCGCCTAGACGCAAAACTCTAATAAATCTTACTACGTTCTAAACGTTATCAAGTCTAGTTCGCTCCATTAAATCGGAGGACGACGACACAGCAACTTTCTCTATTCTCTCTCCTTTTCTTTCATCCCTTTCTCCTTCTCTTTTCACTCGCTCACTCACTCTCACACACTCTCTCTCTCTCTCTCTTTCTCTCTCTCACTCTCTCTTTCTCTTTGTCTGAAGCAGATGAAAGTCGAAGTTTTGAAATTCCCACTTTAACGCTGTAACTTTAGTGACTTGTCGTGAATGAGCGAATTTGTTTAGTGATTATTTTTTCTATGAATGCAAATACACACACACACATACATCTATATATATATATATTAATAATAATAATAGAATATTGTTATTTTTTTTTGTAAGCAAACGATTTGAGAAAAATATGACGATACTTTGCGATATGAAAATGTATGAACGCAGAAATATATTAGGTCTACTTGCTTTTTTTTCCTTTCTCTCTTTTATTTTATTTCATTTAATTCTTATTTTTTTATTTGCAATTTTATTTATATCTCAAAATAGGAATATTCTTAAAATATAACAAAATCGTTGATAGACCCAATATATATATATATATATATACACATGTATGTGTGTGTGTGTGTGTGTCTACATTATATATGTATGCAGATAAATGACGTCGTTGAAAAGTAGAGGATTTGGATATCGAGCTTCGCGAGTTTCCAATTATTATCTTGATATATGCAAAGCGACTAAATATTTGATTTTTAAGCCAAACACACACAAGCATGGAATAATAATATGGTTTGGGGCGATCACAAGAGTACGTCCTTTGATCATTGGCTCGACCCTCGTTCCCCCCTTCGTGTCGAAGTATAACCTCTCATAAAAAATTGCATATAAATCTTTACAGAACGAACCAAACACAAAACGAGCCTTTATGTTTTATAATCATTGGAAATATGTTTCATTTGTCCAAACAAATTGGAACTTTTATCAACCCGATTGTATGCAAACCAATAAATATATTATATATAAATATATATATATATATATATATATGTGTGTGTATATGTATTTATACGCGCATATAGGAGTTGTACATTCAATTGAGATAATCATAATAATTGCTAT